CTTGCTGTGATTGGCTGGCTGATGTGGATGAGCCAGCTCAATATGCAACTCTTCCCATTCTCTTCGCTTTCCCATCAGGAAATCAGATCAGTCACAGCCAGAAGAATTTGAGCTCACACTTATGGGCAGATTATACATACACAGACAAATATGCGGGCTGGCACACACATGCTCTCACAAGCTCCAGGAAAAGTGTGATGCTTTTAGAAATGCTTCAGTGTTTTCTTTTGCTCTTTTGAGCAGACTCAGAAGATATAAATACAAAAATATGTCTCGCTCCACTATATTTGATATTTTACTGATTTCCATGTGTTATTATATAAACAAGCAGGAGCGCTGACAGTTTAAGTACAGCGCCATGATCAGATTAAAGGTTGCGTTACGACAATAAAGCCTAATGGCTACTTTCCATTAGAGCTTTCACTTTTTATTCAAAATTCTAAAATTAGTTCAAATGTGGTTCATTTTTAAAGTGAAACGACCTGTTTGAATCCAAAATTTGCAGTTCATAAGCGGAACAGACGGTTTGAAGTCTGAACTTAAACTAAACTAATGATGTTACATTGTTTACTATAAAAATGGACGACACTAGCAAGCAGAAGTTTAAAATCTGGCTCAATTCGAACAGCGTCTGCCTGTCTTACTGTAAAAATGTCACCTGTATTTATCCACAGTGCCCTCTACAGTGTGTACAGTAATGGAGACTCCTACATGGACAAGAGTGCAGCTATGAATGCAATAATCTTTGCAGATAGTGCGCACACATCCGCAGAGACGTCGGCTCATCCAATGTAAATCTATCTGAAGCACACACACACACACATTGTAAGATATAAAATCTGTTTTATCGATTAGAGACAGCCGGGATAATATTTGAGCCTGCAAAGGACTGAGATGTAGAAACAGGAAGGTTTATAATGACATGATGAACAAACTGAAGCTCCACTATGACCTTTTTAGAGAACATCACACATCCTGACTGCTTGAAAACAGAATGAGAGTTGAATGATGAGTGAGTCGTTTCTCGTGTGATTGAAGGTCATTTGGACCCCTGACTGAGTCAGCCTCCCCCTCCTCCTCCTCCTCCTCCTCCTCTCATGTCTTCTTTTCATCTTCACCTCTGTTACAACAGGTCAGATGTGAAACAGCTTGACCTGGACATTAAAAACGTGACGTGCTTGGAAATCTGCCATGTGAACTCATGACACCGTGACTGCAATGCGTTTCAAGATAATTTCTCTTCTAAACGGTGAACTCAAATGTTAAATGAAGGATAACAAAGTTAATTCGTGATGTGGATAATGATCAAACTACCTTATTTAGGTACATTTAGTAGCTCTTCTGTAGCTTTTGGTCATATTACATGATATTCCTCAGCAGAAGGAGTTTGCAAATACAAATGTTACAGTTTCCATTTTTCTGGGCACTTGAAGACGTTTCCATGTTGACTTAATACAGTACTTGGAAAAAATAATCTTACCAGAAGGTTCATGTAGTTATTCTGTAGACTATACTCCACATTTACAATGGAAAATTTGCATGTGTTGCAAATACTTAAAATTGTCCAACTGGGGATGAGTGACATTGAACTTCTATGTTGTGAGTCATTGAACTTCTATGTTGTGGTGTGTGTTTTTGTAATGGTGCAGCTACTTAAACTGGTTTTATTAACTCAATTACAATGGCATGTTCTTCAAATAGGTACAAAGATCCTTTTGTGGCATTCTCCTCCTACAGCTGAGCACCACATGATACCACTGCTGACATGAAGCCTTTGTCAGAGCATGTTACTTAACTTCTTCCTGAACCTGTTTGAGGAGTAAATAAAACATTACAGTCAAGTATCAAACTAATATTTAGTGCAGAAGAAGTGCACTTATGAACTCAGTGCAAGCAGGCTGTTTTAGGATAACCAGGGGCCATGTACTGTGTGACAAAACGTAATTTGACTTTAATTGGATGTTGCTGCGTTTGTGAATTGATGTAATTGGGGGTTTTGACACAGTTTCATGAACTCAGTGAGACGCACAGTGGATCTTCTACTGAAGTTAAAACACCAATATGCATTTCATTCACAATGTGTATCTTGACAAGTGCCTGGTGGTGAAAAAGTGAAACACTGAGTTAAATGTAAAGTGTCAAGTTGTCCATTGAAGTCCATTTATATCCGAGCTTTATAAAAGCCTGAATGTAAAGCAATTGTGTCTTTCTTACAGCGGGAAGAGACACGGGATGCACGAGAGAGAAAAAAAAAACTGACATGAATCAGTCCTTTAATGAAGCTGAAAGAATATGACAAAACACAAAGAGCAGCAAAAACCAGGCAGTCTCACACACACATGCACACACACACACACATGCACACACGTAACACAAAGACAGCTCGAAAACAAAGAGGCTTTCTGTAAAGACCTGCTGCAGACGCATCCTCTCTGAAGGACTCCACTGTACTCCACATGAGTTTGAATGTGTGTTTTAGTGCTCGTAAAAAAGAATGTATAGGCTGCACACACACACACATACACACACACACACACACACACTGTCTTTTTGTATAAAGTCCTGCGACTGGAATGTGGCCAATACAAAATGGCTGTGCCCCCTACTTGCCCTTCTCGGGCCCCTTTTTTCTCTTTTCGCCTCTTTTTCTTTACATTTTCTTCTTCTATTCTCCCTTTCTCACCCTATCCCATTTCTTGCCTCTCACTCATTCCTGCTTCTCTATGTTAATTTTAGATTTCTGCCCCCTCAGGACAGACAACATGTATGTGATTGTGTGTGACCCCAGGTCTTTAATCTCCACGGTAACCAAAGACACTGTAACCACAGGCATTAAATGATAATGACTCTACATCAGAGTTAACACACTTAAAAGGTTGAAATAATAACTAGAAAGCAGCCAGAGAGAGCAAACCTTTCACAACGGCTTCACTGTGTAATGTTCGCCACGTTGTTAGCATGATAACATTTAGCTTGTCGTCACATCGCTGCGTTTCTGTTGCACAAACTCCAGATGGAGGGCAGGAAGTAATTTTTCTACATTGGAAGCACGACCACAAACTCTCAAAAAGCCTGTTTTGTGTCGTTTGCAGTTGCTCAAATCATTCAAACCGAGAAACGACGAGAAGCTTTTATCAAGTACCAAAAGTTGTTGTTCATAAGGAGGGTAAATTCAAAAAATTGAAAAAAATCTGTTTAAGTGTGATTTATATTTACAATATCTTCCCCACTTTACCTTTAGACAGCTTTCTGAAGTCGTTATATTCACCTGTGCTTTCTTCAAAGCTACCACATTTGTGTTTGGACACTTCAGTTTGGATCACCAATAACACAAGAACTTAACGATCAAGGCAGTAGTAGACCAGCAAACTCCTGTGTTCTGCGAGATAAAATTACTGTTTTTTAATCAAAGGAGTCTGGTGGCTTTAAAGAGAGCCATATAACGACTTCAGTTTGTCCGTTTAGTTGAAAATTGCTCCTCTTTATAACATAAGAATCACATCCAACGTATGCCGTTTGTACCTTTCTCCTATAATCGTCGAGACTCTCCTCCATCTCATCCACTGCTTTTCAGTTCCTGCCTTCCATCTGAATTTCACGTGTCATTGGTACCAGTTGACTGCTAACAACGTATTAGTACGACTGAGGCTGATGGTAATGTAGTTATTGAGTCATTAACCAGAGATTTAGACAAATTGTGAACTGATGATGGTGCCAGATGAAAGGTTAAAAGATATCTGTGGAAAAAAGTGTCTGTATCAAAGTGGTTATCAGACATCAGTCGACAAGAAGGTTGATACCGTATTTAACTCAATGAAAGCACACTATGTCACTTTTGCTTATGAATGTGATACAGTCTGAAATCTGAAGCACTGCAACATTTCAGCTGAGCTCAGCTTGTTGTGGGATGGTGTCATCATTGGGACGTTAAGCTGCCGACTTCCAGCTCCGTCTGCCTCGTCAGCACAGTGTCTGCACTGACTGCAGCTCCAACACCAACACAAAGATTTAACTGTTAGATGTGCAGATGAATTTAGTTTGACCTCAAGAAAGACACTCAACCCTTCTCCTTGAGGAGTACTGCAAGACACTTTCTCAACTGTATTAATTATTAATTCCAGTATATTCTTGTCACTGGATCTTGGTGTAGATATAATGTAAATAAAAAGACCTGTTTAAATTAAGATGAAATGTTACCTGGTAAAATCCAGTATTGTTTTGTACTTTATAGTTATTTTTCTGTTTGTGTTCGAGACAATTCTGACAATGAAGATCACTCTACTCAAATATTATTTGATCTAACTGCTTTAGTAAGAAATTAGTAATCAATACACAGGAATCATCTAATGGTACCATGAAAATCAAGCATGACCTACCTATTATAACCCATTCTGAACCTAAAGTCTATAACAAGTTGTTGATACCTGATAAAAACCTAAATTGAAACTCATTTGAACACCTTGAAACTCTTTAAAATCAATTTAAATCAACACAGTATCAACACATACTGCATCCTACTAGTATATGAAATATTATGACTTTTTCTCAAAAAAATTAAATTTTATTCTCAAAATCTCAAATTTCCCCTCTTACAGATTCCTACTATTTTGTCTCATAGTGGCATTTACTACTAAACATTAACAAAACAAAACAGTGAAGTTCACAGTAGTAACCAACCTACAGAAGCTGCATTTACTATTGACAATTGATCTTTAATACATTTGAAAACACCAGACATTTTTGAAGTAATTTCTAGTTAACTGGTCATTTGTTTTGTAAATCAACTATGTAGAGTTTCTTTTAAAGCCTCTATTCCTTATAAATAAAGTTAGAATAAACTTTATGTATCTAAATGACTTTCTGATGTGTAGTAACTTTCGAAAGTGTCTGACACAGAGTGAGCAGGTAAAGGTTTGCTGTGTTCACTGTAGCTGTTACAAGGACACAATACAGGTTGTTCATCAGAAATATTTATCCAGATATTATTTTGTTTTTCTCAGGCGATGGAGAGCAAGCTGCTGGTTGGAGGAAAAAACATCATAGATCACACCAACGAGCAGCAGAAGATGCTGGAGATGAAAAGGCATGAGATTGCTGAGCAGGTAAACCTGTGTGTGTGTGTGTGTTTGTGTGTTTATAGATATACAGAGGTAGGTAGGGACAGAATTAATATTACATCATAGTAAACTGCATTTTACTGTTAGATACTTAGAAAATAATGCTTAGTTTAACCACAAATGGATAAAGATGTTTGTTTGCTTTAGTTGTATAATAATAATAATTAGAATTATAATAAAAACAATAATATTGAGTCTGATATTGAGATTCCAACACCAAGTGGATATTATTTTTATTAATTTCAAGGACATTCTTTCCTGCATATTGCATACTCAGGCTACAGTAAGCCTGCTTTAAAATGAGTAAATGTTTGACAAGTCTACTTAAATAAAATATGGTTTCTTATAATATATTGTTTGATATTTGTAGATTGGAATGTTTGTGTGGATCTGCTGCAGCATGAAATACTGAAAACACTAAAGTTCAGGTCCACCTTTCAACCCTCAACATAACTTTAGTGTTAAGGTAAACCTGAGGCGATAGGGGGGACATGGTGCTTTAAGAGAAAGGTAACATTTCGATTAAATTCTTTCAGTCACGCAGTGAGAGGGAGATTCAGCAGCAGGTGTTGGTCCAGGACGAAGAGACGCTGGAGCTGAGAGAGACTTTTACCTCTCTGCAACAGGAGGTGGAGGCCAAGACCAAGAAACTGAAAAAGGTAAAAGATGCACAGATATTCCTTCTACTTATAAAGTTCAAGAAATATCATGTCCACACAAATCCACATTTCTAGATGCAGCAAATGCACACACTTTCATAAACAGAAGAAGGACATGCAGATTAACATGCACACACATATACACTTTCCTTTTTTGTTCCTAATGTCAGTATATCCCTCTTTACCCCTTTTGACCCCTGACCTGGATCTTAATGACCCCCTTCTTCGGACACATTCTCCGTCCTGACGCTCTTAAATCTCAGTACCTCAAGGTTTGTCCTGCCGTCCCCTTCCTCTCTCCCTCCGTCACTCTCTATCACTTTCAATTTTGGGCCTCTTCACGCTTTCAATGCCAACCTTCTCAATCTGTCTTCCCTTCCTTGTCAAATCGCTCAGGACCTCTGAGTAACTCACTCCTAAATCCCTCAGTGCAAACCCTAAAACAACTCATTGAACCTTGCAAACCCTTCCCTGCTCTTTTTGCTTCCCAATCCGTTGCACGGCCAGCAGGACTAACCCCAAACAACCCATGGTGTGAGTGTGGATGACAATGTGATTAATTATCCTGTGTTGATCTTTGCTCTCCTGGCGTGCGAACGCAGCACGCGTGCCATCTTCCCTTTCTCTGACTGCATGGAGCCATCTCTCAGGAAAACAGGGATGTGATTTCACTGTGATTTCAGAGCTCAGAGGGCAGCCTGTGAAGCTCAGAGAAACTTTCAGGTTTAGGCGTTCAACAAGTATGTTGATTGTGAAGACTGTGGTTACCACTGAACGTTTTGCAGTTGTAACAGAGTGGTTGATGATAGTCAGGGAGCAATTGTCAAGCCGGCTGTATAGTCGTGCATTAAGGAGTTACAACGTAGTAACACAACTTATGTATGTTGCTGCTGCAGGTTACGTGCACATTTATACTGTGATTACTCAGCAAGTCCATCCCAGTTCAGGAAGAGATTGTTTGTAGCTCATAGTAAACTCTGAATAAACAAGAAAAGTTGCCCTTGTCCATTAAAATTTGAAGAATCAGCCACATTTCTATATGATTTAGAAATTTGTGTTTGTGTACATGGTATTCCCTTTAAATATCTGATTCCAACTTTAAGCTGTTTTAACAACAAATCCCATTTTGAGCATTTTTCTTGTATGCCGCCACATCACTGAGTTTGTGAACTGCAGTGTCATCTCTCAGGCTAACTACACCAGGGCTAAAGTCAGGATTAGCCTACTTGTTTGAAGGCCATGCAGTCAAAGAATGAACAGTGTGAAAGCTCTGGAGCGCACGAGGAAAGAGGGAGAATAAAGCTGGAGAGAGGGAGGGCTGCCATGTTGCCATTCTCCTATTGGCTGCCCATTTCTCCAGACACCAGTGCCTCCAGTGCTGTTGCTAGGGGCAACCATGCTGCAGCGAGTCGGAGACCAGTTCATCAGCGACTACACTGCACTGGGCGACATCTCTCCTCCTCACCCTTTCTGTTTGTCTCTCTCTCTCTCTCTCTCTCCTCGTAGTTGTATGCCAAGCTCCAGTGCATCAAAGCTGAGATCAAGGACGTGAACGACGAGCACGTGAGGAGCCGACAGGAACTGGAACAAACTCAGAACGAGCTCACCCGAGAGCTCAAGTTCAAGTGAGTCGAACAAACATCCAGAAGAGTCAGCGGGATCAGCAAAATATGGCCGGACGGTTCAGCAAACACAGAGCGCACTCACATCAGCTACGTACACGCTTCACAGGAATTTCATTATTTCAAACACAGAGAGATGCTGACAGATCGGAGATGTTAGGATAACAGATCAACGTACAAGCAGTAAAAGTACAAAGATGAGCGAACTAGAACGTGGATTTGATTTGCCACCTTGGTCCTGTAAACGAGCCCTCTGTGTTGGCACCACCACTGTGTTCACCTGCTGCTGTTGTCTGTCTGAACACATCAATCTTCACTGTCAAAAGTTTGTTCATCTCCTTCTAATCATGTTTTACTTGCTATTTTGAATCTTGATAGCCTCTTAGCATCAGAGCGCTCTCATTAATTTCTCAGCTGACATTTTGACCTGTCGTAGCAGGTGGAACTACTAACGATGGCTCCCTGCCAGCAATTACTGCAATGTAATGCAGCAGTTAATGTTATTCGTTGCACCTGTGTTTGATAAGACAAAATGTCTGTGCACCCTGCCTGCAACAACTCCCTCACCCCTCCAGACCAAAAGTAGCCCTATATTGTTGTTACAGATATAGACAGAGATACAGATATAGTGTGGAATGATTGTACTGATTGATTTACTGTGGATTGTGCCTCATTTAACGTCACTTTGGACAAAAGTGTGTCAGATAAATAAATGTAAATGTTAATTATCTTGTTAATTTTCAGGTTGGTTCCTGTTCTGTGTGCAATAACAGTAAAGTTGAATCTAATCTTAGTGCAGAACAGTTCTTCTATAAATCGTTCTATCATATACTGTAGAAACACAGACATAGAGAAAGAAGAGTTTAGGCTCTTGCAGTGAGGAAAGTGTTGAAGAAAGTGAGAAAAAAAAAACACAATTTAGACGTTATTTACCTCTACAGACTTTCTGAAGCCACTTGTTTCTGAAATGACCTCAAACTAAACCCTATATTGCTGTGTGTGGTGCACATGCAGGTATCTGATCATAGAGAACTTCATCCCTCCAGAGGAGAAGAATAAGATCATGAACCGGCTGACCTTTGACCCTGAGGAGGATCAGTGGAAGTTTCAGTCTCTGGTTCCTGCTGAAAGGTCAGTGTGGGTTTTTTTTTTTTTAGATGTTTGGATATTCCCATCTGGGCCGTGAGGTGAAAATATTGAACTCACATTGTGTTTAATTTGAGTCGGGGGTTCATGACCTTTTGACCTTCCAGCTCTTTGTGTCACTCGTTCTTCTTCTCTCGTCTCTTTCCCACCATCCTCCAATGCTATTAAAGCAGAAAAGCCTTTAGAGATGCTGTTAAACTGACTGTGTGAAAGCTAGATCATATTTATTTTGTAGAAGATATCTCGACTGGAGCTTCATTGAGCTGCATTTTGGTATTTTCAGCATTGATTTCTATTTGATTCGTTAGTTTCTTATTGACCCCCCGCCCCCCCTTTCTTGCATCTATTCAGTAAATCCTCGCAGATGAAGAAAAGACCGACATCTGCAGTCGGATACAAACGACCAATCAGCCAGTACGCCAGGGTTGCCATAGCGATGGGAGCTCACTCCAGATACCGGGTAAGTGTGTGTGTGTGTGTGTTACAGGAGGATGTCTGTTCAATGGGAAGCTGAGAATTAACCACTTTAGAGGACAGCATCCATGTCCAGAGTTTACTGAATCTGCCAAAAATGTATCTCTTGAGTGTCAGAAAAATTCATCTAAAATTGCCACCACAGTTTTGGGGCATAGTGAAGTTTGTGGTCAAAATATTATATTATTAAAACATTTCAACACTTTATGATGACCAAAAAAATAACAAAATGTGTCTAAAAATGTGTCACTTTGCAAAACGTAATGCATGAACACCTTTATGTCAATGAAACATCTGTGTGTGTGCAGGCTGAGAACATCATGTTTCTGGAGCTCGACATGACTCCTCCAAACACCGCCTCGCTAGCGGTGGCGGAGCTGAACCAAAGTCACTCTCTGGACAACTCACCCACCAAGGACAGAGGGGTCCGCAAGTCTCGATCCTGGTGAGCCTGAACTGAATTTACTGTCTTCTGTGCAACAAACTTTATAGTTTAACTGTGAAACATCCTGTTCAGTACATATCTTGAATTTAAGGGATCCATATCCAAAATGTTTGGTTGTATCATGTATGTAAAAAGATAAGTATTAGCTGATATAATCAAGTGTCAATATTCATATTAGTAATAACAAATGTATCCATTATTATTTATATTATTCACTGATGTCAGTTAACCATTTTACTGTATGTGGGGACATACAGTAAAATGGCCAGTGTCTGACTAGTGTAAATGGTTTGCATCTCTAAATGGGATTATTCAGGATTAGCCACACCCTCTCTAGGCAGTCCTAATCTAATGGTTTATCTCTCATTTGCTCAACTGCCTGTAATCTCAATATTGCTGTATAATCTTATTAACCTGTGTCTAAATTTTACGTAAAGGCGGAGATTAGCTGTATCTTAATTTTAATTTCTACTGTTTCTTGTTTCTTGCAGGTGCCAGACCCCAAAATCCATCACTTCCTCCTCTTCTAATGTTTCCTTGGCAGCGTGTCATACTGCCACACCCATGGCGGCACAGTAAAGCTTTAGTAAAGAGGGTTTTTTTTAATCATTATTTATTTTAGTTCCTCTGCTTCCTCTTCTTCTTTTCCCCTTCCCCTTTTGGCCAGTGATCTTCTGACAGATTTCTCAATGAGGCCTACAGCTGGGACACAAGCACACACCGCCACCTATGCTGAATTCTGGGAGGTGATTAACTGCATTAAAGAGTTGTTAACAAGGACGTTATCTTCTGACAGACAACAAAATGACCTGATGAACCTCAGAAACTCTGTAAAACACCAGTTCCTCCTGTTCTACAGATGTAAAGACCCACCAGAACCCTTTCTTCCTTGCATGTTTGAGACCATGAGCCTCGGATCGCCCTCTTAAACAACTGGCTGCAGTGCTGTACTGCCCAGACTGTTGTGTGTGTGTGTGCGTGTGTGTTATCTGTATGTGCAGGGCTGTATGACTGCCTGTTTGTGTTTCTAATTGTGACAAATACAGATCTGACAGGTCACAAACTGCTTGAATTGCCTGTAAAATATCAGTGTAAATATTTCATGTATTCAGGGTTTTTTCGGGGCAGGTTTTGTCTGTTTTCTGCGTAAAAGGGGAGACAGATGAGAGTTTATTGTTGTTGGAATTGAGCACAGTAGAAAATAATGATGTAACATATGTTGTTGGTCAGACGAGGTACTCTGAAACCTGAATGATGACCTTTTGTCGTGTCTGTCGTCTCGCATTATTCTTGTGTCACCCCAACAGTGTCTCATTTAAAAGCAACGCCTTTAAATAATCTCATTAAAATGAAAATAGTGAGGCAATGTCACGCTTCTATAAATCATTTTACTGGGATTTGTATTCACAGCAGGGTAATGGGAAACCATTAAAATCACGAAAAAAGAATCTAAAGTTTGACTCTTTTACATCAGTGTCCAACGTTGGGTAACCATAGTAACAACAATGTTAACTGAGTGCGAAAAATTTAGTTTTTTTTGTAGTTTTGTGTCAAAATCAAATCACTTAAGAGCTTTTTCTGGAGCTGGATGGAGATAAGATTATATCCATCCAATGAGGAAGACCATTAAATGTTTAGCTCAGAAAAAGCTTGTAAGTAGACACTCACTCACTCAGTGTCCTACTTTACCAGTTCACTCACTAGTAACTCAACTGTGGCTTAAACCAACTTTAAAAAACAATGAAAAAGGATTTTTCCTTTTGTATGAATGGCCACTTACTCAAAATTTATAAAATAATGGAGATAATGACTCTCTGCTCTGCCTTATGGTGTTCTGTTCATGTATCAGGACATTTTGTCATTCACTTTCCATTCAGAGAGAAACAAACTCTGCTCCCTCTCTCTAATCGAGAACCGGCTAAACAATTGTTAAACAATCAAAAAACAACAAAACCTTTCTATGAATGATGACGATATGTAAACTTGGACACAGATACCTTGTTTGAGTCTCATTCCCACACCAGCTACTTTAAACATTCAGGTTGGGCGTACAGTACAGGAGGTATTTAATATACTGTAGGTCTATAATACAGTAAAACATCATTTCAACACACCTGCTCGGATGGTGACTGCTCAAGTTGAAGTGCACCTCACTGGCTCGTTGTTTAGACAGTCTGCAGTCAGGTGTGTACAGTTTTAGTGTCACAGGGTTCTTTACTTGCTGGAGGTTAAGAGGAGCAGACAGTGGGGGTCAGGCTGACTAATTATCACTGTATTATTGATGCAAGAGATCCAGTTGCGCCTGGACCCCCTGATAAGTACAGGAGAGCACAGCAGCAGTCCTTAAATAGTGGGTAAACAACACTGTGCTGAACATCTAGAAGCCTTTTTTAACCTTTTTTTAACCCTTTTTTTTTTTTACAATACTTGATATACAACATTGTGTCTTTTGTGTTTCATGACCCAAAAATCAAACCATATCATTCATAATATCCGACAATGTCCTCACAGAAGTTTACTGAGATATCAGTCCCGGATCCTTTTAAAGGCATGTGACAGTTACTTGCTCAGTCTAGGGCGGAAACCTATCAGGTGTTTTCATTATGGATGAATCTACTAACAATTATTTTAACTAATAAATTGATACTTTGATCTAGAAAATGTCACAAAATAGTTTAAAAAAAATGTCTATCACATGTCTGCCAGAGCCCAAGGTGACGTCTTAAAATTGTGTTTTATGTCCGTCCAACAGTCCAAAACCCAAAGAAGAACAGCAAATCCTCATATTTAAGAAGCTAGAGGCAGAAAATAATTGTAAGAGGCTCCATTCACACTAATTTTTAGAAAATAACAGTAACCTACTGAACCTTCCTGCCAGTAATACAAACAATTACGAGGGAAAAGGGTTAAAATGGCAAAAATATGTTTTGTCTGTTGTACAAATTACATTCAGAAGCAGTTTTCAGTCTCTCACTGTCTGAACCATTTACAGATGCACACTGAGGATTTTATGTGTCTAGTCATCAGTATCTGGGTACATAATTGACCCAGTTTGTTATAAAAAAAAAACTTAAAATGCTCTCAGGCTTCAATAAAAATGTTCTTGCTGTATAATGGAGGTCAAAATACATGCAACTGTACTTGAGTGAATGAAATGATGAATGGAGTGGATCAGGTCACATTTCAGGGTGCTTTTAATCAGATAAAGACATTCAAATATTGATATTCAAGCAAACATTTTGACAATTTGCAGCTCCTTTAACTATTTATCTCAGTGTAATGCAACATCAATCACCTCTCCTGCATCAAGATATCCATGAATTATGGTCTAAAAATAGAGCAGACTGTAATGCAAGGATGAACGTGATTGGGTTAAATAATTTAGGAACAAATGTACGATGAAGAACAGGCAGTTATTACCAGTCTACACTGCCTCTAAACATTGCTCATGTACAAACATTTGGTCATATTAGTTGGTGAAATCCTCCGTGTACGTTTCCCGTTTGTGTCAGGGCTGTAAAATATTGTATAAACGTGAGTGTGTGGGGGATGTGGGGGTGGGGGAAGATGACGATGGAAGAGGGGGGAGGATGGACGGATGGATGCAGTGATCCAAAGACAATCAGGAAGTGAGTCTGTGGAGGAGGTGAGCCTGTTTCCATGGTAACCTGCCAGTAAAGGGGATGGGGGGGTTGTGTATCTATATGTATGTATGTATGTATGTATGTATGTATGTTACGTGGTCGGGCTGAGCTCATGTCTGGCTAAGGAAAAAAAAAATCGAATAAAGACACTGTCACAGGCGCCATGTTTAAATACCTCTAATCAATATCTAACGATCTGTTTCAGGTTATTGTGTGCGATTGCCCTCAAGAGCTATCATTTTTCATTTTTATTAAGATTCCCATTAGCTTAATTGGAGCAGAAGCTATTCTTCCTGTGGGCTATATTACCTTCAACATTTATGATCCAAAAATCCCATTATAGCCTCACCAGAGACCAGCTAACAGACCAATATAGCTCCAAAATATAAAGGAGGAGGTTTACAGATCAAGTAATTACATTAATACATTTCATACATGCACCACAATTCTGCTTTATCACGACAGTTCAATATTTGAATGAAATAACTATATAGATTATTATTATTATTATTATTAAATTCATTTTACTAAGGCTCCATATTTACGTATACACAGTCTATGTATATGTCTATATTTATCTACACAAATTGTTAAAATACAACATAAAGGTACATTTAAAGAGAATGGAACCAGTCCAATAGACCTCTTTCACAGCAGCCATTTTGACATGAAATAGGGTAACAGAGTAAACACAGGTTGTTACCAATGATACTGATTAAGGCTCCATTACATTTAGTGTAATAGAGTCTTTCCAGTGAGCCAACATGCACAATAACAACACAATGACTCTGTTTGGCCTGAATGGAACTGAACCATTATTAGTATCAAACAAAAGGAGTCAGTCAGTTAGTATTCAGTCTGACACACACACTCACTCACTCACACACACACACACACACACACACCCAAGACACACACAGACACACAGTCAAGATTAGTAATCCTACAGGTTTGGATGCAGACACTAAAGCAATTTATGAGCAACGTTCACATAAACGTCACATAATCAGGTCTGGTGATGAGTCATAGGTGACACACAGACACAGACACACACACAGACACACACACAGACACACACACAGACACAGGTCTATAAATTCACTCATGCAATCTGAGTCTTATCAGTTGACTTACGGGCGTCTCTTCTTCACCCCCCGCCTGTCGACATTTAATATTTTATGACCAGAGAGCAGCTTTATTAGGACAGTAGGAGCACATTTTTAATGCAGCCGCTCTCCAACTTCAACATCAAATGATAAACAAATTAAACATAGATTGATGAGCTCTGTTGATATTTACCAGCAGAAATAGGAAATAATATTAATCACAATACAGAATCCTGACTTGGACATTAAAATAAGAAGATTGTATGTTGTTATTGTAAGAACACCTCACTGACACTGAACAGTTGTTATTATTGACCTCATTTAACTACTGATCAGACCTATTTATCCAGTTTATCTCATCATCCATCATTTTGATTATTCTTTATTCCTGTTCCATAAATATGAATTCATGGATTATGAAGCTTTTAGCTGTTTGTCTAATTTATCAGAGACTGTACAACTAAATGCTGTATTGCTGCACACTTATCTCAGCTGGGAGAAGTGTGGTTGTGTTAAAGGTAACCACACTGTTGAAAAGCAGCATGGAGGCCAACAGTCTAACTGGGCTGATGCTGCCCTCTGCTGTAAGAGGGGAAATATGCAGCTCCTGTACCAGCTCAAAGGCAGCGCTGCTCATTTTCAGATGTAAAACACAGTATTTCTATTGGGATTGAAATATTTATCAAAAGAATAAAGTCCTTTGAGCTCCAGTGGACTGAAATTGACTTTATATTTGACCATCTGTCCCTCGGATAAACTTTCTTCCGAATTTCCAGGTTTACTTCCACTGACATTGAACAGAAAAGGGAGGATGTACCAATAAGCTGCTGATGAACAACAACAACATAAACAAATAAATCGGTGCAACCATTTCACGTCACAGCTGGAGCCTCTAGTCGCACAGATTCACGTCTGTGGTTGCTGTGTGTCTGAGAAGCACATCAACACATTATTTATCTATATGTTGTAGCTGATATCAACCAATCTCTTTGCATTTGATGCTGTTGTATTGTTTATTATTTATTGTAAAGGTTAAACATTAATTCAGGCTGCCATTAACTGGGACACCCAGAGTGAAAACCCTGTCTGTGATGAACCTTCAGACAGAGCTGTAGTGTCAGATGAACTACTTTCACTGGAAATTTAATGTGGACTTTACATGCTAAATTATAAATGAATGCATGTCTGCTGGTACAACAAAAGCTGGTGACTGTGTGTTAAAGAGATGCGCAGTGTTGATGCACTACATCCAAGATAAACCTACAAATTAAAGTTGACAAATTGAAGAAAACATGTTAATAAAGGAGTGAAAGATAAATGCTTTTTGTCTTTTGCCAGGTTCTTTGTTGGTGTCAGTGGGCACTACAGATGCTTCAGCAGCACATTCTGCTGTCTCAGAGGGTTTTGCCAGCCTAATTCTACAAGAGGTCATTCATCCATCCATTTTACAAGCCTGACTTTTAGTGCTCAGGGTCATGGGAGGCTGGAGCTTCTCCCAGCACTCACTGGAAAAGAAGATTAGATTAGATAAGATTATTCTGCAGCTCCCTCTGCTGGTATAATGATAAACACACAGTGACGCCTAAACATTATATCAACCCTCCCAGTCTTATTGAATCTTACTTCAAACACAGAAATTCAGAAGCAGAAAACTCTTTTTACAGTATTAGTTCAAAATATATAGTCGCAGCAGCAGATGAAGAAATATGTGTATTGTGATTACAAAGATCTCCTTCTAAAGCCAAAAATTACACATTTCAAAATAGAATTTTATTATATTATCACCACATTGTAAAACTGGTCTGGTCCAGTGACGGCTCACACAGACCACTTACACTGTGCCAGATACACTAATGAACGACGGTCCAGACGTGGGCCACATCTAGCTGGTCCTGTTCTGACCATGTTGAACCAGACATGCCAACAACAACAACAACAACAACAACAGTATTTTGAACAAATATTTATTGATTTTTCACATCATGCCATTTGCAAAACTATAAAATGTCATAATTCATACAATCTCTCTTCCTCTCCTTTCTCCCAGTCCCTTACTCTCTTCTGTCTTTCTCTCCTCCCTTCCTCTCATCTACTCTCATCTCCTTCCTCCACTTGAAACGTGTTTTATCCAACATCAGGACAAAATAGGGCCAGCTATGGTTGTACAGTTGGCTGAGATATGCACCACATGTGGACTGTAAGTCAATGCTGTAATTTTCCTATATAGGTCTGGAATTGTATTACGTCTACAGGTTTTGAAATATTTCATTCTTAACATTATCAGACACAAATCTGAATACATATTTGATACAGAAAACATCATGTTATAAACTGAAATCAACAATACATGACACCTGTGTTTGATTCCTTATACTTTTCTAGGTGTCATGCTGAAAGGATACACATATTTGTTCACTTTTAATTGCTTTTACTGTTGTCCGACCTGAGCAGAGTAATCTAACAGAGGAACATTATAGAAACCAGACGGAAATTCACATTTGAGCTCCTCAGCAGGGCTCAGTAGAGTTACATTGGTCTTGTTCAGCCAAGTGAGGAAGCTCTTCAGGTTTGGGTCGCAGTGAAATCGGTTCATTTTTAGGTCGAGGAAGCTGAGAGAGCGAAATGCGGCGGGGTCAGGGGACGCTATGAAGTTGTTGGAGAGGTTGAGTACTTTGACACTTTTGGGTAATACATCAGGCTGAAGGTAAGTCAAAGTGTTGGATGAGAGGTCCATCTCCACTACAGAGGTGAGACCCTTGAAAATGCCATGAGGAAGAGACTGCAGTGCGTTGAAGCTCAAGTTGACACCAATCACATGTCCAAGGTTGTCAAACAGATTGAGGCATCTCCCCTGAGACCACACAGACTGCAGGGAGCTGCTGTGAAGATCAAGAACTTGGAGCAAACCAATTGCTGGAACTTGTCTACTGAGTGTGCACCACTTGATCGTGTTTCCCCCGTAGAGGAGATGCTGGAGGCGTTTCAGGCGAGTCAAAAAGGTGTAAACATCGCCCAGGTTTGTTAATCTGTTGTCCTGAATGTTCAGATGCATAATATTGCTGGCAAACCGCGTGAGACCGCTCACAGACGAGGACGTCAGCCTGTTGTCTTTCAACAGGAGATAATCTAAGCTCGGCAGAGATTCAGGGAAGCCGAGATCTCGCAAAGAGTTTCCTGTTAGATGTAATGCTTTCAAGTTGGGAAGGCCGCTAAAGGAACCATAACCCAGTGCACCAATGTGATTGTGAGACAAGTCTAACACTTGCAGGTTTGTCAGAGAAGCAAAAGTGTAAGAATAGATTTCCCCTAACAGGTTGTGTGACAGGTTGAGCATTTTTAGATGTCCCTGAAGACCTTCAAAGGCATTTCTGTGTATCTGATTCACTCTGTTTTGGGAAACGTCAATGATTGCGACCTCTTTCAGTGGACTAAAAACCCCCTGTTGCAATGCAAATATCCTGTTTTTAGACAGATCCAGAGAGAGGACTGAACTGTTGCTCAGACCTTCAAACGTGCTACGGTCTGGATCAGGGAGATTATTGAATGAGAACCCTTTACCCATGTGTCCTGACAGTCTGAGATGGGAGATCTTAGTCCCTTCAATTGCTCTGAAAAACTGCTTTGATTTGCCCACACCGAACCCATTGTGGGACAAGTCGAGTGTCTGAAATAACATTCCTCTGAAAGGATTCCCACATTTCTGCCAGTCAAAACCTTCACTAGACATGGCCTTAAGGTGAACAGAGTCCAGGTTCAGAACCCTGAAGTTCTTCCCCTGGAAACCAACCAGATCAGACTCACACATTTTATCAATTCTGTTCAGCTTTAGATTCAAATCTTTCAAATTAGTCATGTTTGCAAAAAACATTGAAGGCTTGAGTCTGTTTATCTTGTTTCCAAAGAGGTCAAGAGTCTCTAAGGAGGACAGCGGCTCCAGATAGTTCTCCATCAGTATGGAGTCTTGAAGCGAGCAGTAATAAAGGTGGAGATTCTGCAAACTGGACAGTCCCACAAAAGCCTCTGGCTCCAGTCGAAGGCCGACATTGAAGCCTAGCACCAGCCTCTTCAGTTGTTTCTGTCTGCTGAAGGCGTTGTTCCTGATCACCAGTGGCGTGTACTGTTGTCCGAGGTCCAGCTCCTGCAGCTCCTCCAAGCCCAGCAGGGAGGTGGAGTTGATCTCACCGATGTGGTTCATCTCCAGGTACAGGTGGGTGATGTGGGGAGGGAGAGGAGGAACCCAGCGGAGGTTCTTGGAGGCACAATTGGCTACAGAGCCCATTATGAGGCATGATGGGAAACAACCCGGCACCTGTAAGCAGAATTTTTTAAATGTGAGTCGATTTTCTTGTTATTATTAAGTAGGGCACCACTTAATGCTAATGTTTTTATTTTTTACATGTACATATATGTATCAAACCATATAACAGATAATGTTTATCACCCCAGGACAATGAAATCAACAAAGAAATCATTCTTACTCATGATATCTTTTAACTCATATCCAATTTCAGAAACCTTCTTTTCTTCTGCCTTTGATTGATGAATTTGTCTTTTTTAATGTATTACTTATTACTGGTCTGTAACTGCACTGAAACAACATCCATCTATGATCTATCCATCCTCTATGTATAATTATTTGTCAGCCAGAACAAAATAATTCTATTTAGAAAATAATAATCAAATAATATCTCATTGATTGAATTTATATCTATATATATATATATATATAATTACAACAATACACAATTAATAAATGGTCCTCGTATCATGTCTTCCTGTTCATATAAGTTGCCTTTTCTATGGGAAGACTTTATAGCATCTGCCTACAGCCCGTTGTTTAATACTTGGTTTATTAGTCTTTTTCTAAAACAGTGCAATCAGTCTTCTGACACATAAAACAACATTCTTCTTTATTTGTCTCCTTTTGGATACAACCTTAACATAAAAAATATATCTTTTAGAAATAATCCACTGTATTTCTACCCAAAAGACTTTCTGCATTACCAAACATTGTAAATTATTGTCTTCCCTTAAGAGTTTAGGCTAATTTGTGTGTACATAGTTGCAGTAATGAACACAGTATCATATTAATATACACTTGTATTGTGTTATACGTTTATCTACCTGTAGTAAAACACAGATGACCTGAAGACTCAGCATCCACATCTTCAGCTGCTTTCCAGACGAAGTCCCACTCTGTTAACGTCAGAAGATCCAGTCTCTGCAGTGTAGAGAGCTCTATGTTCTTTTCTGCAGAGATTTCTGTTTGCAGCCTCTTTATCTCTGAGTGTTTGCGTAACTCATGTTGGGCATTGCATTGACCCTGCAGCGTAAACGTGACGCTGGATGGGATTTCCCTTCTTTTTTTTTTGCCCAGTTTACATGAGGGTGGGAAGTACGCTTGCATGTCTGCAGTCGTTGCTATGTATTGTATGTTTTGTTGTTGTGTACTGGGGTTAGGATGGTACATTGTTTTGCACAATTGCCAGTTTTTAAAAAAAATCTGATGTTCCCACGTTTGTGTTGTGTAAGTTATGTCTTGATTTTTGTTTCCAACATTGTATATTGGATTGAATTAGATTATTTAAAGAGCCGTAAATTGAATGTCAGTTATATGGATTACATTTGAGAGATTAAAATGGGATTTTTTAATTTAGTTTTTAATGGAAATACGGAATAAATGTACTGTTTTCTATGAAAATGTTTAAAACACTTGTTGCTCTTGCCTTCCAAAAAATAATGTATTTCACAGTACTAGTGACTACATTTAGATATAAAAATATATAAATCTTGTATTTTTTTTGTATGTTTTTCCTCCTGTTTTATTGTTGTTGTATGATTAGGATTTTGGTGTATGGAGTTAATCTGCACTCTGCTAGATATACCAAAGTACTATACAAAAGGACACACAATTATTCCGGTCATATGATCTGACAGGAAACAAGTAAAAATTTGAGAGAATTTTATTTAATATGCATGACTGCTTTTGCTGATATTTAGCTGACTATTGGATTAGTATTCTGTTTATTATTTTATTAGTTAGTAGGTTCAAGATGCTTCTCTGACTTTAAGAAGAGCTGCGACAATACATCAATGTACTGAATATATTTGTACACAGATGGATTTGATGTGAAACTGTTTTAATCACAGGGTATGGTGGGAAACATTCTTCTGATTTTGCTTAATGTGCAACCAGTGACCACACTTTTAACAGTTTCCTAAAAAGGATCTTCCCCTTCAGATCTTCCAGGTTCCTTCGTCATATGTTGAATAATTCTCCCTTTCTGTTACACGGTGGTGGCATGTAACTAAGTACATTTACTCAGCAACAATTTTGAGATACTTCTAATTTACTTCTACTTTACAGACCTATTTCTCCACTATAGATACATATATTGTATGTTTTACTAAATTTGCCTGAAAACTGAAGTTTCTTTAGGTGCAGATTATGATTTTAAGTGTAATACTTATTATCAGCGTAGTATGATACATTGTTATACAGTAGATTAAACTAACAGCATAAAGGGTAGTAAAATTTAGCTCCGGCTCAACCAGCTGCTAACATGTGAAAGCATCAGTAATAATCCAATTATATGGTAAATATAACAATACACCACTCTCAAAGGGGCCTCTCTGCCAAACAAGTATTTTACTTTTGAAACTAAGTAATTTGGCTATAATACTTTTGTTCTTATGTTCCAAACAACATTTTGAATGCAGGACTTTTACTTGTATGTTTATTACTATTTTTACTTGCGTGAAAGATGTAGAGCATAAAGAAAAACTACTATAGTTTACAGTAGGCCAGTGTGTTACAGGTGTTTATCTCCTACAGGTGTGATGACTTCATGGTTCTTGTCACCTGTTCAGTTTGTTCATGTTTAATTTCCATTGTAATTAATTTGCCTCAACTCCTGCAGAGTACAGCGGTGTGTGTGTGTGTGTGTGTGTGTGTGTGGTGCGTATATGTAGTTGAATCACACAGGGCTGGTGAATTTCACAACCTCTGGAGAATGAAGGTTTGTCAAATACAATACAGAGAGCAAGAGACACAGAGGTTGACTGACGCTGTGGCAATAATGTTACTTCTTCTCCTAGTAAGGAATAGAATAACTGAGGAATAAGTAACTTACTTACAGTAATTAATTAAAGCTACAAAAAGTCACTGGAATCAGGGGGATGCAACTAAGTAGCCTACTTTTACTCAAGTTACAAGTATAACTTTGTGGCACTTGTACTTTACTATTTCCATTTTATGCTATTTTACTCAATTTCAAAGGCAAATATTGTACTTTTATAATATCCTTCAGCTCCTCCACTGTGGGAGTCGAGGCTGGATTAGCAACAGAGCAAACTGGACAGTTGTGTCTTGTGGTTTTGAATTAATCACACATTTCTTGAGGAATCAGAACCGCCACAGTACAATATCAACTAAGTAGTTTATTATAATTGTGTGGCCTTGTCATGCAGAGGGGTCATGTGTAAAATAAACAAGAAAAAGAATAACACAAGCATGAAAATGCAAGCAATTTGAGCCATAAAAGTACTCGAGCAGCCTAAATATTCTCTGCTGAAATTTTTATTTCATATACAAATTACTAAGTACCTTTTAAAAAAAACATGAAGCCAGTAATTCAAATATCACGACATGAAAGTAACGTTAATGTAACTTACTTTCCTCTACTTTTGGATTACCTCAACACCTAATATGTATAAAACCAAGAGAAAAGAAATGTCAACAAGAATATTGATAGAAGTGTATTATACAAGACAACAGAACAATATAACCTTAGAAAAGAAAATGGAAACAGAAACATTTTTAGCATCAAAAATGTGTCCTAGGCTTATTTATTTATTTGAAAAGTGTAATCCTGCTAAATAATCCCCATTTTTACTAAATGTAACTGTAATCTGTCTTTGACGTTTCTTTCGGTAATCAGGACACAAAAAAGGTAACTGATTACGTAACTCAGGTACATGTAATCAGTTACTCCCCAAATCTGGTTAATTTAACCGATTATCCTTCCTGTGTAAAGTAAAATACATCTTTATGCCATGAAAAATAAATTAATAACTGTAGAAACTAATAAACCTACCGTTAAAGTAAGTTAGTTACTATAGAAACTAAAACGGTACCGTTAACCGTTGGAAGGAAAGTAAGTTAGTTACTATAGAAACTAAAACCGTACCGTTAACCGTTGGAAGGAATGTAAGTTACTATAGAAACTAAAACCATACCGTTAACCGTTGGAAGGAAAGTAAGTACGTTACTATAGAAACTAAAACCGTACCGTTAACCGTTGGAAGGAATGTAAGTTACTATAGAAACTAAAACTGTACCGTTAACCTTGGAAGGAAAGTAAGTACGTTACTATAGTAACTAAAACCGTACCGTTAACCGTTGGAAGGAAAGTAAGTAAGTTACTATAGTAACTAAAACCGTACCCTTAACTGTTGGAAGGAAAGTAGGGTTAGTTACTATAGAAACAGAAACCGTACCGTTAACCATTGGAAGGAAAGTAAGTTAGTTACTATAGAAACTTAAACTTTACCGTTAACCGTTGGAAGTAAAATACGTTAGTTACTGTGGAAACTGAAACGGGACCGTTACATGTCAAGTGAGCATTGAGTTGGTTTTGTGTCAGCAGCGTACACCGCTCGCTGTCAGAGGGGAGGGGACAGGACTGGACCGAGGAGAAGTGATTCTTTCAAAAATAGTACACTTCATCACAGAAGCGACCGGTACAGCAGCGGCAGCGGGCGGGTATGGAGGGTGCGAAACATGATTCGCTACAGAAATAAATAACGGGACCGGGAAGATATTATATTGATACCAAAGAGGAGGCAACAAAACACGGTGGAAAGAGGAAGCGGATATTTCAAGAGAGAAGAAGTTACAGCTAGCTGAAGTCAGTGCTGATGTATTTGTGGCCACGAATACCTGCCGAAAATAGTCCCGGTGAGTAAACCCCGGTCTCACATAGTCTGTTAAAGGATATAGCAGAGTCACAAAGACTAAAAGTTTAGCTTTTTAAGTCGGTGTAAAGTTTCCCCTTCAAATTGAATCAGAGTTTGGAGAGAGTTAAAGAACACATTGATTCATGGGGGAACAAGGTGAACAGGGAGTTAAACTTTCTGCAACATGGCCGCTCAGATGTCACACAGCTTTTCCAGAAGAAGGCAGAACCTAAATGAGTTTTGACACAAAGTCTTTGAATCATTGGAGCTCAACTTGTCCGATGAAATGAAGCACTTCAAAGTGGTCAGATGCGGTGTCCGTCTGTAGTGGACCGATAAGTCATGCCCACTTTTCAAATCAAAACTACTCTTGGTGTTTGTTCTCTACGGGAGGGACGATGATCCATTCAAAAGTCTGCCAAGTCTACGTTACCTGTCCTGTCGCTAAACACACCGGCTTTGTGCAGTATAACTTAATACTTTTTATAAATCGTCAGGGTCCACTGCGAAATTCGGCACACTTAATGAATTAATGTTAAGTGTGCACAAAATGTACACTTAAAATGCAACACGCTGAATGGAAACAGATGCGAAGTTAACTAGTAATTGTATTATGATAAGGATGCCAGTGTGAGGGCTAATAAACCATTTAATCAGAGCAGTTGGATGAAAATAATTGCTTTAATCAATCATAATAGCTTTAATGAATGATCAGGAATATAGTGAATCATTGTATGTGACCTGTGTGTTGGATGATTTATCACACAGCCTGTCAAAAGGTGTTATTAGAGATGGCCTACACATTTTTGGAGCTTCCCCCATCTCTACAGCTGGTGAAGTATTATTAGTAATATAGTGTTATTAGTATGTTACTAATATATCATTATCAGGCTCTTCATGAATCATTTCCTGTCCCTTATTGAATATTTGAACCCTAAAGGTGAAAGGTGGAGTACTTTAAACCAAACAAACAGATTTTATACAATATCCCACTTTCTGTATCCCAATTAAAACACCAAATATAGCTGTTTTCTCTTTCAGCTGCTGTTATTTTGACAGTTAAAAAGTGCGCAGACCCTTAACCTAGCAGCTCTTTATTTATTTGACTTGTTCTATCAGCCGCTGAAGATCAAACACGAGGGTCAAGTTCATTAACAGTGCAATCATAGGCTGTTACAGAAGTGGCATGTAAAAAATCCAACCAAACAAAAACACATTTAGTGCATTTTAAAGTCTGTGTCCAGTCAGGTTGCAGACTTCTGCTAACAGTTTCTTCCTGTGGAGGAAAGTAAAGAGAGAAATCACAGTAACTAAACCGTCCCCCGAGGGTCTTTTACTGTTTCCCTGATTGTGTACTTTAATTGGGCAGTGGGCGATTCGTTTACATCTTTAAAAGGCCAAAATGAGCGAAGCCTCCCACTTTTCCTGGCTCCCACCGCCCTGCACATGATAACCAGGTATTAAAAATATATGCATGTGTGTGTGCCAGCGTCTCCAAACAGGGTTTTCTTTAAAAACCTTATTATTTTGTCTGATTTACTTGCAGAGAATTGTTTGTGGTTTCTTCTCCACAGCCTTTTAATTTATAACATTTCGCCTCAGTATCTCCATGTGGAAAGATTTTAGTAGTTGATTTATAGTGGTGCTGATTGCGGTACTGTCTCCACTGTGGGTGTGGAGATAATAGCTGTGAGGGTGAAACCTGTGATTAGAAGTACACTCGTTCCTATCCAGCTTCTAGTTTATATCATTTCTCTGGAGTTAAATTATAGTGAAATTTAAGTATTCCTCATTTTGCGCGCAGGAGCCGCTGAGTGGCCCTCCGATACTCCTGACCTCAGAGCTTTATACTCGTTCACTGTTTGATGTTTTAATGCTCAGGTAGCTCGCAGGATAGCAGTAAAGTAGTGTAATGACGGACGAGTACAGCTGAGGCAAAGACAGACCAGTTTTTGTCTTTGTAAGTTTGTATAACAGCTTGTTTTTAATTGCTGTCGTGGCTCTCTAAGGTGATACTGAGTTGAGTTGAATTCTGGGACCTTTTGTCTTGAAATCCCTGAAATCTTTTGTATGAATCTGCAACACATATTGTGGAATATTTCAGGTCGGTCGGCCTGCAAGATTAATCTGAAACAATCAAACACTCTGGTTTCTTCATGACAGTGAACACAACTTTCACTTCCTCTTTCCTCTTGTTTATGTTTCTTTTGTGTCGTCTTCCTGTATCTTTCATGACATCAGTTTCTCACTCTTCCTTCCTTCTGAGTACATCTTGATTTTTCTCTGCTTTTCTTCTTCTCATCTCCCTGTCTTCGTCTTCATTTCCTGCTCTGTCTCTCTCTTTCTCCGCGCATCGCTCTCTTCATTTCATCCTCTCTTTCTTTGCAGTTGGCATGGCGACCTTACAGTCCTTTGGGCATACCAGACTCCCCACCCAAAGACAGATACGTTCAGGTTTCAGTTCTACACTTGAGTCGACTTCGGTTCCAGCTAGAGATGCATGACATTGGAGTTTTGCCAGCATTCGATATGCCGCTATTTTCCAGCTCATTTTGTCCATTCGCTGATGTATGCACATATTTTGTGAACCTAATTGCAGAGAACATCAAAGCTCAGACATAAAACTGAAAGATTCTTCGTAC